TCCATCTGCAAAGATTGTGTCTGTTTCAAATATTACATGTTCCTGAAGGGTTAAACTATAACTAATGTACTCATGAGGGTGGAGCTCTGGGGGAGGATATGCTTAAGCTGCTGGAGTGTATTGGGATGGGTTCGATACTGGTCTTGGGGCTAGGGCAGCTGGACTGTTGAGTCCCATGTATAAGAAGAGGTAGCAGGCAGAGTCTATGCCCAGGGAGTGAGCCTAGTGGCCAAAGAAAGGCCTGGAATCTATCCAGACCCAGGAGAACTTAAAAGCACACAGATTCAGGGTATGGATCCAAATACAGCAGCCTGAGGTATATCCAGCAAGGGGGAGTTTGACAGGTCTGTGACACCTCTGCAGCAACTAACCTCTAGAGACCACAACCTGTGAAACACCCCAAAGGCCACCTCAGGGACTTTTACCTTGCTGAATGATCACACATCTTGGATGCTTATAGTGCAGAAACAATTTCCTAACATTATGATTATAGAGTAGGTCAGGGGTCGGCAATGTTCGGCACGCGGCTCGCCAGGGTAAGCACCCTGGCGGGCCGGGTCAGTTTTATTTACCTGCTGACGCGGCAGGTTCGGCCGATCGTGGCCCCCACTGGCCGCGGTTCGCCGTCCCGGGCCAATGGGGGCGGCAAGAAGCGGCACAGGCGAGCGATGTGCTGGCCGCGGCTTCTCGCTGCCCCCATTGGCCCGGGACGGCAAACCGCGGCCAGTGGGGGCCGCGATCGGCCGAACCTGCTGCGTCAACAGGTAAATAAAATTGGCCCGGCCCGCCAGGGTGCTTACCCTGGCGAGCCGCGTGCCAACGTTGCCGACCCCTGGAGTAGGTGGATACAGATATTGCATATAATATTGTTACCTCTCTGCCAAGCAGTAGATGTCAGGCCTTGCAGGTCAGCTTGCCTTTGGAGGAGAAATCAGAGGTGTGGTGTATGAGTACACAAACATACACCAGTCCTGGAACAGAGGTTCTCACAGACAGCCTGCAGGCAATACCCTCTTCCAGGGTTCTCAGCCCACACACCAATGCCCAGTTTCCAGGAAACAACTCTGCCTCAAGAATGGACTGTAGTTAGAGATTAAAGCCAAGAGAAAACTCATTTGCTGCTTACCACATCTCCCCAAAAGAAACCCAGGCCCCCAAACCAACATCCCCTGGCAAGCATTTTCTTTCAAGTTTAAAATTTCCTCACAAATTAAGAAAAAGTTCTTGTAAGATGATGTGTAACAGCACCATCTAGTGACCCATCATAACAATATATATTTTCAAAAATATAATCTCCAACGTTTTTAAAAAGTGATCTGTAATTTAGATTAGTCACCAGAAAGCTGTATTATGCCAGGCTTCTGGATGAGGTAGAAAGGTAATCAGGAACTTTGATGATACAGAACCGATGTGAGAGGTCAGCATTGATATTCTGTTCTATTCTGGAGTGAGCCTGGGTAGTGTACAGTACAATCTGAAGGCTGAATAAGTGAATCTCTTTCTAAACAGCTGCAATATTTCTCTGCACGGACTTTGGTGTTTACTCTCATGATGTTTACACAAAAGATAAGTTATTGCTATAAATACAAAGAGGAGAAGATAGACTTTCTACTCAATCGGGGAAAAAAATATAAGGAATATTTTTAAGAGACTGTTTTTAGTAAGCTACGTTAATGGCATTTGTGTAACTGTTCAATAGGGCCAGGCCTAACATAAGCTACAGAGACAGCACACAGCCCATGCAGATGCAGTAAGAGCTCCTTATTCCTTCTTTCTTCATCTAATCAGAAAGACAAACCTAAAGGGGATTTTCATTCTGCAATCTTCAGGATGTGCAAGTGGTGATTTGTTCCAGTGAGCTAGAGAACCTCTCCTATTAGAGCTCCTTTTTCTGTTCCACAAAGCTAAGAGTGGAGGAGCCCAGAACTGTTCATTAATTGATATCCAAGAGCAATACAGATTTCTGCCACAGTTAAGAAACCCTGCTCTCTTAGTTTTGGGTTGGCTTGCATTGGACTGTTAGGTAATGAAAAAATGGTGGGATTTCCAAGAGCAAGTTAACAAAGGGAACCTTCAACATCATGCTTCAGGGCATGAAGGTGTTTCCTACAATGCTCCATACGACATTTTCCTCTCCATATAGCATTGCACAATTGGCCAGGTGAATTGGGGTGTGTTTGTGGGGTAGGAGTTGTCACTTTCTTCTGAAGCATCAGAAGGGGCCAAAAGTCTGATGCATTATGGCAAGTTATTACAAGTAACGGTGATTCTAGTCAAAAGAACTGAGACATTTGGAGGTTATTGTCAGTCACAATTGTGGGATGTATCACTCTATAATGACTCATTGCACTACCGAGCAATAATACTGAGGGCCTTCAGAGAGCTCTAAATGTAGATGAGACATCAGTCAGAACAAT